AGTGTTTTGGTTAATTGTGGATGGGCTAGGCCCAACGGGTGTTTGCTGGTATCTACACCCTTTTCGCTCGCTACACCCCCCATTCGTATACCTCACTAACGGGTTAAGCCCAAGCAAATTCTGCAACCACCTCCCCCTTTATTTGTCATACGCCCCCTGTTTGTATGTGGGTGGTATATGGGCTGGGCTTGGGTTTTGATACTGAAACACTTCTGGAGAATTACACCCCCCCTGCATTTTATTGTTTTATTTCTTTTGTTTGATGCTTTATTTTAATTTTTCGTTATAGATTAATTAGAAGCATTAGTATAAAAATGTAGGATTTTAAAAATATAAAAACATTAGGATCATAGATTGAATTTTAATAAGAGTCTAATAGGTTAATAAAAAACGTTAGAATAAAAACATTAAAAATATATTAGTATAATTTAGATATTAATATACTTTAGGATTTCCCTTAGGATAATAGGATTAAAAAAATCTTAGGATAAAAAGATAATAAAAAATCTTAGAGTAGAAGCATAATAAAAATCTTAGGATATTTTAGGTGTTAATATTTTTATATAGATAGATAATATTAGATTTGTAGGATATTAAAAACTTAGAATATTTTAGGAGTATAGCTTAGTATAATTTTAGGATTTAATATACTTTGTACATATAAACTCTTAGGACAGAATTTAGTTCAAAAACAATTAATACTTAGTTGTAATATAGTTGGGGTATTTTAATAGTTGATTTAGGATTATGGAATATATGGGGTATAGGGTATGAACTTAGGGTCCCTTAGAAATAATTAGGTGTATAATATAGTTAGTATTTTATATGCATTATAATTGGTGTGTTTGTTTGTGGGGGCTTCCCCTTTTGCTGTTTTGCTATTTTTGCTTGGGCTTTTGGGGGGCTTGCTTGGAAGAGCTTGTGAAGAATTAGAAGCTTGGAAACTCAACTTGGAGCATGGAATGAGGTCACTTCTCTTGAAGGTGTTGTTTGAAGACCTAGGACATAAGAGCTAGATAGAGCCTTAGAATAGAAAATTTCTTCATAAACATGGATGGTTTCTTTTGCCTCCATTCTTCTCTGTGATTAAAAGTCTCTCCTTAATACTCACATCCCTCCTTTGAAAGGATTAGTGACTGTATCTGGGAGATAGAACTTTAAGAGAAACAGTCTGTATTATGTTAACTTTCTGTAGGCCACCTTTGGTGCTCAGCAGACTGTTTAACATCCAAACTCATCTTGTGAACTGTTTATCATCTAAGAGAGCTTGCTTTGAAGAATCCCTTGAAGATTGAGGATAGAGTCCATTGCCTTGAAGACTGATAGAAGAAGGAGCTTGTGCTGTCAGGTTTTGCTGTTTAGAGCTGCTGGTGCTGTGTAGAGCTGGTGATGTATTGTTTGAGTTTCTTGACTGTATTGTTTGATAATTTTCCCCTGGAGGTTGAAGTAAAGTTGTTTCACTTTGCCCATTGTTTTCTAGGTTCGAGGTTGAGTGGGACTCCCTTGCCTCGCTTGTACTGCTGCATTCATGCATTTTACTACTTTACTGTATATATGTTGTTTCTTTTCCGTTTATCCCTTAGGATCTCTGTTTCTCTCTGCGCAAGAGAGAAATATGACAGACATTAGGCTTTCATCCATGCATGACAACATTAGGATAGATTTTTATTCCCTTTTCAACCATAGGTTTTAGAGTTGTTGTTTATCTTCTTTCTCAAAACAATCAGAAAAATATAATAAAAGGATAAATATCAATAAAAAACAGTTCTTGCGTAAAAGACTGTAAACCAATCAAAGAGTCATTTTTGTCCTCTTGGACTTATAATCAGGAGAAGATCTTTTTCAGAAGGATAAAAACAATCAAGACAGACTTGTGTCGTACGTGGCCCGAACTACGTTTGCTCTGATCTTTCATGTTGTATGAAAGTACGTAGGCATAGGATGTGATATCCTAGCGAGTAACCTTCCCCTCCTTTCCCGTAGGTAGGCGAACTACGTTGACTCTGATTTCTCGTTCCAGACGGGAATACGTAGGCATAAAGTGCGATACTTTGCCGAGTCATTTTATTTTCTTTTAACCCTTAACCTGTAGAATAGATAGAATAACAATCCGTACCAGAAAACAAGCGTGGATCCCGTCGAGTACGACAGACGTGAGGGGTGCTAATACCTTCCCCTTGCGTAACCGACTCCCGAATCCAGGATTTGGTTTCGATGACCATTCCTTTCCGGTCTTTGTGGTAGGTTTACTCTGAGCGTTTCCTTTCCCTCCTTTGGGATAAATAACGCACAGTGGCGACTCTTCTGTTCAGCCGACGCCGATTTTCGCAGTAGCGACAAGAGGGCTATCTGTTCCAAACGTTATTGCCATAAAAGTAATTATGCCAAGGTTGTTAAGATGCACCAAAAAAGTTGTTGCCAGTGAATGAAGAAGGCTGGAAGTTTTGATTGAAACGATTCCAACATTGTAAATAAGAATGACCAATTAGAGCATGCTTGACACTGCAGGGTAGTATTCGAGAATCTACCTCCTCTGCCTCTGCCTTTTCAGCCTCTTCCTCTGCCATAACTTCCACGAAGAGCTTGATAATCATTGCTAGTGTTAGGTGTTGACATAAGGGAAGGAGATAAATCTGAATTAGCAGTTTGAGCCTTATCCTAAGGTAGATGAGAATGTACAGTGTGAGTAAGGTTTAGAGAGGCTAGGTCAAGAATTAAAGGTTTCTTGAATTTGTTGAGACGAAGTTCATAAGAAACAAGTAAGATTTCAACCTCATCAATATCCATAACTCCAAATTTGCTTTCAACAACATACATAACCGATGCATAGTCAGCAGATAAGCCTTCAAGAATCAAATCAATGTGATGTGATGGAGGAACAAGATCACCAAACAAAGTTAGGGCATCAATAATAGTGCGAATCTTAAGGAGATAATCTTGAATGGATGAATTATCCAGTGTAATGGCGCGTAATTCCACTCGCAACTAATGAGCTCGAGCACGAGTTTGCTTATGGAAATAGTTGAATAAGCGATCCCATAGTTGATGCGAATGTGAACAACCTAAAACGCGAGAGAGAATTTTGGTGGATAGAGTAGATTGAAGCCAGGACATCAACATTTGATCTTTCTGAAGCTAAATTGAATATCGTATCCGAGATATGATCAACATCATCGAGGAGTTGCGGAGGAATTTGCGAACATACTACGAATTCAGTGAGGTTGTGTACATTGATGTAAGGCTCAACCTATTAATGCCATAGATGAAAGTTCTTTTCATCGAGCTTTTGCACAATTTTGTGCGCGATATTGAGACGACGCAAATTGTCATTGATTAACGAAGCTACAGAGACCAACGTGGTAGATGTAGGAGTGGAAGACAGCAGTGACATCGCTGATGAAGACGCCATGGCTAAAGATCGTGTTAACACCGGATACCATATTAAAAAGCTATGCTTACATTATTCATAGTTCAGTATGTAACTAACTTTTGTGTCTTTCATTAATTGATCTCAATATTACAACAATATTACAACAGATGCATTTATAGTTGCAATCAGGTAACCTATAACAGTTTATAGACTAGACGAATATTAACTAACTAGCCTAATTATACTAGCTTATCTCTAATAAAACTTAAGCATAAATCTAGCTCTAAGCATAGAAGATTCACATGTTGAGAAAAATTTAACATAAATTTAACTATTAAGCACAAAAGATTCATAAGTTGAGATTCTCTTACATTGCATTATCTTTTCTTTCCATAGTAATTAAGGCCAAGCATACATAATACTAGAGTGTTAAATAATATTCTTTGGTTTTATTATAAAAGAAAAATTAATTTTTTAGATTCAATGGAATAATTAATATATTTAATTTATTATATTTAAAAATATTGACTATTCAATAAATTAAAAAAAATAATTTTTTTCAGATAATACTATTTATTATTATTTATTAAGATTAGCAAATCCAACTAGTTGGGGCATAATCAACTCATATCCATTAAAAATATGAAAATAAATAAATTTAATAAAATTTTATGTTAATCAAAGTATTTTGAAATGTAATTTTATTTTTTTAATATTGTTAATAATTGTTTTTCATAACAATTTTATATATATTACAATTATGTTTTTACACTTTTACTATAAAAGTGATTCAATAAAATTAAAATAAACAACAAAATGATCAATTAAATCTTTAAAAATAAATTAGACAAATGGAATGCAATTATATTTTTAAATTAATGAATCTGATTCAGTTAATTAACTAATATTTTACATAGTAAATTAATTGAATAAATTTAATAGATAATAGATTAAGTGATCAAATTGACACCTCTAAATAAAAAATATATTTTGATGAAATAAAAGAACATGTTATGAAACACATTCTCAGTAACATATAATGAAAATTAAATTATTACGTTATTGACACTAAATAAATACCTGTAAGAAGAAAATTATAACAAGAAGCACCTGTGGCCTAATGGATAAGGCGTTTGACTTCTAATCAAGCGATTGTGGGTTCGAGTCCCACCGGGTGTGATTATTTTTATTTTTTTAATATTTTTTATTAATTATTTTTTTAATATTTTTTAAGAATTATGAATATCTCGTATTTAAATGCTGAAAATTTTTCTGCTGTCTATTTACCAATGTCACAACACTTGAGTAATTTTTCTGCTGTCTATTTACCAATGTCACAACACTTGAGTAGTTCAGTACAGCTTATATTTTGTTTCTATACCACAAATAGTTAAGTGAGTTGATTCCCAAGTTCATATTTTAACATTCCAAATCCAAACAAAGAGTTTCTATCTAAACCGGTAGCTTCTCAGTACGTAAAAAAACAGACATACTCTTTATTTTTAATAAATTCAATAATAACACCAAAAATAGAACAACCACAATAGTTTAATCTATTTGGCCTAATCTACATTCTATCTATAACTAGTTTCATCTATCATACAAATTCATCTTCTTCACTACTCACTCTCTAAGTAGAAGAATGTTGTTGTTGTTGATGTTGTTGCTGCTGAATATTCATCAATTCAATCTCTTTTTTCCTAATAAGCAAAACCATTCTTTCATTTTCTAATCTCCTCCTTTCATTTTCAAGTTTTGCTCTCTTCATTTCCCTCTCTTTCTTGCTACTATACCTTGCCCATTTCAATCTTTGTTTTTCCAACTCAAAAGCTTGTGATTCATAGCTTATTTTCTGTTCCTCTAACTGCAAAATTTTGTTTCTTATCCATTGTTTTTTCTCCCATGGACTCTTCCCACCATCTTGAAACACACCACTTATTTCATTGTTCATTTGATTCATCAATGGTAATGATGAGGATGACATAGAAATGGGAAATCCTCCTTCTTTTCTTCGCCTTTTCTTTGATGGTTTTCCGTCATTCTCATCTTCATCTTGTTGACACTTTGAACCACCTTCTCCTGATTCATCTTCATCTTCATCAGAATAGTCCTCTGATTCTTCATCTTCATCTTCATCCTCCTCCTCTTCAACTTCTCCACTTCCTATTTTCAATATCCTCAAACCCGAACCACTCAAACTCCCAACACCGTTTTCTGTTGAATGAAAACACTGTTGTTGTTGCTGCTGCTGTTGTTGCGGCTGCTGTTGATGTTGTTGAGGTTGATTCTGAGGTGTTGTTGCTCCACTTCCACCTTCTACTTGAAGTTGAACATTAGAACCACCACCAGCGTGACCACAGCTATTATGATAAGCACACATTTCCCTAAAGAAAAGATGCTTAGAATTCAGCAATTTCCTAACTTCATCTTTCATCTTAGGTGTCAAATCCATTGAATCCAACAAATTCTGATTCTCAACAACCCTACAAGCTGTCCCTTTTCCAAGAATATCATTCACTCTTTTGTACCTTTTATTCAAATCATTGAACTTATCTTCACATTGTTGAGGTGACACATAAAACCCTTTTTCCATCATAGCCCTTGAAACAGATTTCCATTTCCCTTTCTTCTGTAACAACCCACTTGATTTCTTCTTATTACCCATTGGATCAGTCCCTTCAGAACCACCTTCATCACCAATGTAATAAACAGCCATTATCAAAAGCCTTACCATTGTATCAGTCCATTTCATTCTTTGCCACGGTGAAAATTTCCTCTTTGGGTCACCACCAGAGGTCTCATCACCTTGAAAATTTGGCTCATCCTCAATCTCATCACTAACCTGAGAACCCTGCTGCTGCTGTTTGTTCCTGGATGAAGATAAAGGAGGGTACCCAAGTTTCATTGATTGATGCAATTGTTGTTGTTGATGATGTGTGTCAGTGTCATGAGGAAGGGGAGCATAGGAAACAGCTTGGGAAAGGTGCAAATGGTGGGGATTTTGTTGTTGAATAGGGAGATTTTGTTGTTGTTGTTGCTGCTGCTGTAAAGGGATATTATTATCAACTACTCCTAGCAAACCAGAAGTAGCGATAGGAGAAAAGATTCCATTGGGGTCCATCATTCAAAAACTGCAGAACAAAAAGAACAAACTTTGAAGGAAATGGACTAGCCCTTTTATCAAACAGTTGAAATGCAGAAAAAGGGTGAAAGAAAATTTAGTTCAGTGAAAGGAAGTAGAGAAATTGGGTTGTTGGTTGGTGATAAGAGAGAGACAATAGAGAAAGGTATATAATAAAGGTAAAGAAAAGGGTAAAGAAAGAGAGTAAAATGAGTGTGAAATTGAAGCAACCGGTTTTGTGAGAAAAACTGCCCATGGTATTTGGTTAGAAAGAGAGAGACAGAGTAGGAAAGAGAGAATCCACAGGTTTTGTGCAAAACTGGGGAGCCACAGTGTAGTAGCGCCAACAAGGACGCTGGTTTTCGATTGTTTTGGTCTAGTTATACATACGTGTTGCTTCTCTCATCAAATAGCTCAATAATCTAACTATATTTTTACTAAGAGTTATAAAAACTTAAACTATTTGTAAAAAAAAAAAGAAAATGTAAAAAAATTGATAGTTTATCAATTATGTACCATATGTTAAAATGTATCAAAATATATTAGTGGAAGGATTCTTTGAAAAAAATTCACTATCACAAGTGTTTTTGATAAATTTATTGTGATTTAGGAAATTAAATTCCTCGTCGGTTTTTTTCTCTTGCATTCACACTGTTAAAATATTATTAATTATTTGATCTTGATCGCATGACTTAATAAAATATATATTTTTTTTCAAAATTATCAATTTTAACTCAGAATTATATGATATTAATGAGATAGTCAATTACGCTTGAATGCGTGATTTTTTTAATTGCAAGAATTATGGATTTGTGTTTTAGAATATTTTTTTGACAATAGCTCATCCACTACCTTTGATAAACAAGAATGTCATCGTAAAATCAAATAGATAAAATTGAATAATTTTAACCACAACGACAACCTCAATCTTAACATGAGCCAACATCTAAAGACCTTATGTTTTAAGATGAGTCATGTTCTGAAATCTATACGAAACAACGATATTGATACATTACGGTGATCATATGACCAAATATGCATGAGAGGGAGAGATACAATTTGTCTTTCAATTTAGTTTTTTTTATAAATTTATTTTCCCTTAATATTTTATATTGTTTATAATTTATTTCTTTTTCCAATTTTGCGACCTTCCAGTATAACGTGTCAATAATACAAAAGATCAATAATTTGACTACTCCAAATAAAAAATAATTCACTTATTCCACAAGAGACAATCGATTGGTCGAGCTTGTCACCACATGTTACAACACAGTTGATTATGACATGTTGACAACTTTTTCTGAGACGTAGAATGTGGAGTCGAGCAACTTCCACCTAGCAATTAAGGAGGTGAAATGACATTTTCCCACACAAGATTGTCTTCTTGACCACACTACACTGCCCAAACCTGAAGCAACAGACTTGATAGTTTAGCTAATGGAGCGGGAAGTTGAAAATGACCAAGAAGATCATGTACAGTTCAAGTATTTGAAAGAAAAGTATCAGAGATACATGACAGTTGAAAGTGTCATTGAGGACTATATGGTCAGACACTGACATAAGCAATACACCATCAGAGTGCACCTCCTTTACTCGGTGGGCTTGACCATATTCTAAGATGAAAATACAACCTAAACTCACGTCGCATATTTGTATTATTTGAGGGATCTTGATATGATTGATGACTTCGTTTGGGGCATTGCCTCCCTTGCTTATTTATATACGAGCTTAGTGTTATCACATTTCAAGACCAAGCAACTATCAAAAGCTATGACATTACTTTAGGTAATATATTTATGTAATTATTTAATTAGTTGTTAAAAATATTATATTCAATGTTGTATATTGATTAATATACGTTGATTAGGGTTGGACATTAGTCGGTTTGGGTTGGGCTCGGGCCCGATATGTTAAACCGACCGAATCCATGATTTCAGTTGCTAGACTTAATTTTGACCGAATTAATGTGCGGTTTGATCGGGTTCAGTTAAATCGGGTTTTTGATTAAAACAGATCGGTTTGTTCGATTAATTTAATTTTAATATTTTAAAATAAAATAATATTAAATATATAATTAAATGGCCTAAAAAATATTTTCATCAACCTAATATATCATTTACACAATTAAAAAATAATTCAACTTCCATCAAAATATAATATTACAAATTACAATATTACAGCACTTTCAAGTATTCATACAAACTATAATATTATAATATATGTCATTCAAGCATTCATACAAACTATAATATTATAGGCCATTCAAACATTCATATAAAGCACAAAGCCACAAGGTTACAAACTTTTGTGCAATATAAGATCAAGGTTACCTAATATTTATAAAATGTAATATAATACAACATACAAATCACAATATAACCTCTTAATATAATATTAATGTAAATTGGCATATAATATAATATAATTTTAGGACAAAACCACAATATACAACATGCAAATCACATAATATACATTAACATAATATAATGCGAATCACATAATATACATTGACATAATATAACACAAATTACAACACAACATTCTATATCATTTACACAATTTACTAGTCATTTACATAATTGATCTACACGTGTTCTAAAAAACCCGCATAAATCTGTCAAAAAAACGAAAATGAACTTCAAAAATACTTAAAACAACTTAAATCAAGTCATTTACACAACTGGTTTAAGGTGGATTTGGAGAACTTAAAAGCAACATTGGTTAGAGACAAAAGCTTAATCGAGCAACTGCCATCAACATGCACCATAACCAGATCCATTCTCCCATAATAAAAAAACTCTTGCAACATTGTCATCATTTACTGTTTGTCACAAATATAAAATTTAATTCATTTATCAAGTTTATATATAAATGTACATAATTTTCATGCATTTTTATAAAGGGGAAATTGAACTACAAAATACAACATCCAGTCCAAATAAGTGTCTTATACTAGTCATTTAACCATCTTGTTAACTGAAATATAATATTTACTTTTTTTACCAAGAATAAATTGATGTCGGAATAACCTACCACCACCCTAAAACCATTAGGTATAGTTCCATCCAGGCATGAAAGATGAAACATAAAACTAATTAAAATGGAATTTAACAACAATTTGTCTATTTTGAGACAAGTAAAACAAATTTATTCAGACACAAAACACAAAAAAAAAAAGACATATTCATACATTCAAGGTATATTCTCAATATTACTTAATATAAAAATTAATACAAGAACCACAAGACTTACCTTTGTACCTTGCTCCTCCAGCCACAATTTTAGTTTCAAGCCCAAGTCCATCTCAAATTTCAAGCTCACTTCTGACGTTATGTCTCTTGTGATATCAATAACTAAATATTGTTAATTAGGTACCTAAAATAATGACCATACCCAATATTAGTTAACATTATTAATCACACAAATTTGGAAAGATATTAGGAAGCATTAATCAATATATTCCAATATTAGTGTCATGATGAAAAAAATATTTTATGAAGCTTTAGAGATATGAAAAGGTACTAAGAACAAAAAGCCAACAATTTAACATTAACATTTATTTACATGGTACTATCACCAAATTAGTTATAAAATAAGAAACAATACATATATTATTGAATATTCCAAATGATGTTATTAACTTGTAACTATTACACCAGATGTCTCATTTATGAGTATAGAAAAATAGAATAAAACCCTAAAATCATTATATCCATGACTGGACACAAAAACAATAGAAGCACCCTAAAAATTGCAGAAAAAAATTTAAAAAGATGCATCGTACCTTCCGTATGTTCTGTAAATCTCGATAAGAATTTTGTTTTTCAGTTTAGGTTATGAATAAAAAAAAGAAATGAAGTTAACAAATCTTGAATATTATTGGAGTTTTGAGTTTCAAGGCAAAATTTGAGATTGTGAAGAAAGATTTCTGAAAAATAAACCTTAAGACAATGAATTTTGGTTCGAGCAGGACTCAAAATTGAAGAAAGGAAAACTAGAGAAAAAGAGAAGGTGACGACACAAAAATTAGATCTAGGGTTTCATATTGTGTTGGTTTGGAAATATTGAGTTTTAATGGACCATTGTGTATAACTGGTCGGGTTCAGTTTACCGTGGATTAAGTTGCTCAAACCGGAACAGATCTGTAGTAACCATCTTAAACCATATATATTCAAACCGCCCAACCCGATTTAACTAGTTAACTTGACCGCTGCCTATGGGCCCAACGATTCGAACGACTTGGGCCAATTTTATTTTATTTTGTCCAACCCTAACGTTGATGAAAGCTTGGGTCTTTTATAATTTTCTCGGTATTTGCAAGAATGATTATGAACAAACGTACACGCAATTGAATGCTAGCTACTCCAATACGATTAAAGGACATCCTTTATAGAATTTGGTCGAGACCGTCTAGATAGACTATTCTTGCAAGATGTGTTATATTTCCTTCTTTTTACTTACTTTCTTTTATTTATTTTCTTTTTCTTTTACTACTTGGTAAATCCCATATTTTGTATTTTTTTATAAAATTAATATAGATGAGATAGAGGCATGACATGAATGTTCTTTATGGACGCTGATATAGTTGAGATGTCTAAATTGTACTTTTAAGTTTTGATACTCTTAACTTATCTAAAAAAATCCGGGAAAAGATAGAAATTTAAATAAAACAATTTTGGCACAAAGTGTGATCTCTCTCT